CCAATAGAGTTTTTGCCGTATGAGTATACGTTGCCCAGGGTGCACTACGTGGAGTTAAGTTTGTCGCACACCCCTTAGGCAGTGGGGATTGTGCCTGTGGAAATGAGACGACTCTCTATGAAGCCAGAAGTTAGCTAAAGGGCTAATGATAACTATCGAAAAGCCTGACATTTGATATAAATAAACAAACTTTTAAGACGCATTAATAGCTCATAGGTATTATAATGAGATCCCACTAAAGATTCACAAACGCGGTCCAATCGATCTCTGATTAATAACAGAAATCACTGGATAATGGAGGAAGTTCACAACTTTTCTAGCCGTGTAGGGTTCAACACAAAAAGCCGTGCAAATTTTAACCGGTACCTTACTATTCTCGATATATTTTCAGGGATATAAAACCCGATAATATCCTCATCAACCGTGACGGTCATATCAAATTGACCGACTTTGGTTTATGCACAAGTTTTCGTTGGACACATAGCAGCAAGTACTGGGATCCGGTGTTTGCTATTCCCCAACCCGGGCAAGATAAGTCTGCTGCCCTAGGAGAGGGCGGAAAGACAGCAGAAGCCAATCCCACTTCAGCTGTCAAGGTGGATGGGGACGAGACGAGTGGGAATGGCGAATGCGAGGGCGGGGATCAAATTTGGCCCATGCATGACCAGACTTTGGAGCGTCGAATTCGCAGCTCTTCAAATAGACGTTGTGCCAAATCCCTCGTTGGAACGCCGAATTACATTGCTCCAGAGATTTTACGTAGACAAGGTGAGTCAAACCATTGTCAAACATCTGCATTTAGATCTTCTCAGGAGAGAATTCCATTTATTCAAACGAAATTTCCATACAATTCGTTCTTATATACAATTTTTTTATAGCAAATATTACAGGCTAATGGCCTCTGAATATTTATTTATTTATATAAATGGCAGGCGTTTTGATAGTTATCATTAGCCTTTTAGTTGATTCCAGGCTTCACAGAGGGGAAGGAACATCAAAGTGGAAAAAAAGTCGAGGGGGGGGGGGGGGGAACAGAAGAATGTTTCAAAGATGTAAAGTGACAGACACAGAGGTAGAAAAAAGGTGAGGTGAGTACTGTGGAAGTAGTCAAATATGACATACAGTCGAGTCATGGTAATTTGAAATCAGAAGTCAACTGTCGATTAATAGACTTCTTTGTCGTATGAGTATGCGTTGCCCAGGGTGTACCACGTGGAGGTAAATCTATCGCACACCTCGGCCTCTGAACATAATAATCGATTATTTCTAAAATATTTTTAGTGAAATCATTTGATTTGGATGGGGCTTTTACTTCCTAGAAGTGGACAATAAACTCGACTCTGATTCTCAACAAATAAATGCGAATGGAATGTACGGTAAATAAAACGCGTACCAATTTTCCCTGAACTGGAGAATGTCTCAATCATTCTATGCGGCAATGAAAATGTATATATTTTATGACAACCATACTGCATGGGCTTCCATACCTATGTGTAGGAGTGTCTGCCCTCAAGTAGATTGTTTAGACTACCCCTGTGTTAACCCGGTTCATTCATGAGCATTCACTCGAAGCGTGGCTAGCTTTGAACTTTGTTGCTATTAGGTGCGTGAGAAACCCGAAAGTAACATTGTCAACTGGGTACCCTAAGGGAGGGAATGTTTTTAGAAAAAACATAGGTATAACTTGGAAGATTTCCATTAAAGAATACAATCGTGCCTGTGATTGGTGGTCCGTGGGAGTTATCCTCTACGAAATGCTCGTCGGTAGACCCCCCTTCGTAGCCCAAACTGCATTAGACACTCAACTTCGAGTGATTCAATGGCAACGACACTTGCGCATTCCTGGAGAACCCAGACTTGCGTCAGACGCTGCTGATCTCATTCGCCGACTTCTCTGTGACCCCGAAGATCGTCTTGCTGACCCACGTCTCATGAAACAGCATCGATTCTTCGCCTCAATTGAATGGGACAAATTGCCCACACAAGCACCGCCCTATGTACCAACTGTAAGTAACCCTTTCGCATTATTTTAAGTGCAGTAACATGATTTATAGGTTTGTCTGTAGACAACTATTTGTAGTAAAAGAATTTCGCGTGTGTAGTCTTTGCATTCCTCGTATTATTGCCCGACGGAATTCAGTGATTTGACTAGTTCACCACTCAAGATAATAAAGTTTATTAGAAAAGGCGTGAGCAAGATAATCCGCCTTTATGAGTTTTCTGAAGGAATTGAGATCCTGTTTAAGGATTTGTAAAATTCTGTTTAATTATCATAGTCGAACTAGTGAACGTTTTGCTTAATGATGTCGAGGTTTTGTTAATTGAATTCTCTTTATTTCATCCAAGTTCCAATGTTTGTTAACTTTTTGATAATGAATTAGGGCGCTGACTTGGTGGATTTATTTATTTATATCAAATGGCAGGCGTTATGACAGTTATCATTAGCCCTTTAGTTGACTTCAAGCTTCACAGACGGGAAAGAACATCAAGGTGAAAAAAAGTCAAGATGGGGGAGGGGGGGAGGAACAGAAGAGTGTTTCGAAGATGTAAAAGCGGCATACACAAAGGTAGAAAAAAAGGTGAGGTGATTACTGTGGAAGTAGTGGAATATGACAGGTGAGGTGAGTACTGTGGAAGTAGTCGAATATGACACAGTAAGGTAAGATGATTACTGTGAAAGGGGTCGAATATGACATAAGTGAGGTGATGGTAGTTTGAAGTGAGAAGTCAACTGCCTTAGTCGAATATGACATACAGTGGGGTCAGAAGTCACTGCCATACAATGGGGTGATGGTAGTTTGAAGTCAGAAGTCAATAGCCATATTAATAGACTTTTTGCCGTATGAGTATACGTTGCCCAGGGCGTAGGTAATAGACTTTTTTGCCATATGAGTATACGTTGCCCAGGGCGCACAAATAGATTTTGTCGTATGAGTATACGTTGCCCAGGGTGTACCACGTGGAGGTAAGTTTATTACGTACCCCTACCTGGTATATTCTTTCTCTGTTATTTCTCTTGAGTCGCTCCTAAATAATGATCTAAGATAGGATCTACAGTGAAGCAAAGCTCACACCCTCTAATGCAAATATACGTTGGCACACGACATTTATAAACTAGACTTCTACTACGCCAACAGCAATTCTGTGGAAGATGACCTTTGACACAATGAAGGATATAGTAAGGTAGAACCATGTTTATATTCGACTTGAATGCAGCAATATCTTCCAGAATTTGTTATAGTAACAGGCAGTGACTTCATTCCTGAAAGCAAACGGTGGAGGACAGTGGTAAACGATATTCGGAATCATTAACGTTGCACAAACTCTCGGTACTTATAAATGATTTACTGCAATTTTTTTTCGAAATTCAGATCCTAAACGAACTAGACACATCCAATTTCGACGCAGTAGACGAAGAGGCGATTGGTGAAGACCAAACAAGCTCTCAAAGCAGTGGCGGGGGTGGTGTCAACGGAACCTTCGGATTGACTAGTGCGCCCCACGCTTTTCCTGACTTCACCTTCAAGCGATTTTTCGATCAAGATCAGAACAATAGTGGTAATGGAAGTGGTGCTGGTGTCGACAGCAATCATCTGCTACTCGCTACGGGTTCAAACCTCTGCGCTTCGGAAGTGTGGCCTCAGACTCATGGTACTTTGCTTGGCCAACCTGCCCAGTCGACTTCAACTTCCTACCAGTAGACACAATAGGCCCTCTGTACAGTACACACCACATTGACTTAAACACCAACCCCCCAGCCACCACATACACGATACGCTTTAAACTTGCAATGGACGCATATAATTGTACAGTTTAATCATGTATGTATGTTCGCAGGTGTACTGAGTTATTCCTGGTAGGGAATTGAGCTTTCATAAGTGTTGAACTCTATATGTGACAAATTGCGCTTTTTCTAGTAGCTAATTCAAACAAATTTCTTGATATCTACTCAAGATGTAGATTTTACTAGCATCTAGAGTTAAGATCACGCCCCAAGGTATCATAAGTCAGATAGGGAATAAAACAGAGAGCGTAGAATAAGTTTGAGAGATTGGAATAGCAGACGAGGTGCCCGATTCTTCATTTACTACCATCTAAGCAATGCTTTTGTCTACTTCCAATCATCATTACAGCAAAAAAAACTGGGAGAAAATGAAAACACGTTAGCTTAATAGCTTAATTGAGATTAGAGAAAGCTCAGAGGGAGGGGGGGGGGTTAGGGGAAAAATGAGCCTGGATCAAGAGAAATCTTATAAAAGCGAACTTGGTTGAGATGAAATGGCAAAATGACGAGGAGAGTGAACAAAATGTGGGGACTTAAGAATCCAAGATTATCAAGGTAAGCAGTGAGCTGTTAGATCTGATTTCTCCCAAAATAAGAGGCACTGTAACAATTGTATTTGGAAATATATCCCCAAGCCTCATTTCTAATCACACTGTACCCATGAGTATCAATAAGCACGTCAAGGAACAGTTTATCTCACGAATGCTGAAAGGACGAATGAAGTAGATTGTCTTAGTTGTTAGGGATTCTAACATTATTACAAAGCCTATGCAAAGTAATGGGATAAAAATTTTACAGAACAATACTTGGTTGCTTTTTCCCTTCCCTTGTAAAGTAAAACTCTTCTCCCTTCATTTGCGCCACACCAACGATAATCTACGACTGGAACAAACCGGAATCTTGGAAGAGGATAACATATATCGCCACTACTTGCGACCCCATCAAAACAGAAAATAGTATTGTCAATGCTCAACACTTCCTCAATACTGTGAGAGGAAACCGACATGAACTGGAGAGTTGGGATGGAGACCAAGAGGTCGGTCTGACTAGAAGAATACAAACATAGCAGATGATCTCATCTCGTAGACCTCGAACTGCTCACTTGACCAGTTACGTATGGAGAAGGAAACCTTATTCATAGCTGAACAAACTTTGAAATGATTAAATTTCATAAGATCAACTTTTTGATCTCTAGAAGCAAATATCAAGAAACCCAATTAGAACACACCTTGGCCACATCTTTTCATAGTATATTGTAACCAGGTAAAATTGTAAGGAGGGAAGGGGGGAGTGAGAGGATAGATACTAACGCTTTACTCATGAAAATAGAGGTAAGGTCAAAGTTCATGAATTTCAGAGTGTCTGAGTGCACTTCAAATATACCAGTACAAAATAAAATAGTACATATGATGAAGTGAACTCAAATTGTTATATGGAATGAAATAACCCGTCAATTAAAGGCCCAACAACGCCAAGCCACAACAGAAGTTTATTGTAGGGAGTATTAAAGTATTGTCTAGCTAATCAAGTGGTTTGCAGCTCTACTACTGTAATAGCAAGTATGGACAGTACTGAAAGCTAAACTCGCTGTCATCACCAACCAGGCGAAACGTGATTGGTCCATGTGATTCAAGCCGATTATCAAATTTGTCCGCAAGTAAGTTGGTATTGCCTTCGTAACAAAGAGGCAGTAAAATTCGTGACTGTTCGCTAAAACTGAGGAGATCCTAGGTTGAGCAAGCACGAATGCAAAGATAAACAAGTAAAGATGCCTACTAGAATGTCTTAGATTCTCAATTTCTTTGAAGGTATAAACAGGAAATTTGGCATTTCAGACATTGACACTCAACCACAAATTAAAGTAAGTAACTCATTGGTGAAACAAAAATAGCTAGATTTAAATCGGATAAATTACCGTCTTCCAGAGGAATAACTTAACCAACAAGGTAATGAGCTTGTATGTGCACATTAGCATCATCAAAACTTTACTTATATTATTTATAAGTCTTGAAAGGAAATACATCAAAAGATCTTTACTAGAAAAAATCATCATATATACAAACTGTACAGAAATTCGTCGTCACTCAAACACTCTTCATTACTACCGAATTCTCCTCAGTAGAGGGATCGGATTGAAACAGCGGCCATGTGTATAGATTGCTATCAAGTCCTGCTGTATAAAGCTCCAAGCTTTTTGGATTCCAAGCACATGCCGTCATCTACAAATAAAGATATAGACCAATAATATATATTGTTTATTTTTTCTAATAAGAGCTTTAAGCCGAAGAAAGAGACTTACACTAGCAAAGTGTCTTTTGATAGTCCGAAGCGTCGGCTTGTTGGAATTCTCTCGATATAATCGACTATCAATTGGTGTAACAATAAGAGACCTATCTGCGGGTACAAACACGAGGCCACCCTCAGCTTCCCAAGCGGGAAAACGTGGACATGGGCCCCAAGGGCTCTCCCCTCCAGCCACCGCTAACCGAGCACATCTTGAAGAAAGTCCTGCACCCAAAACTGTACTCTCTACCGTCACGGCAGCCGTGGAAAGACGGGGTTGAGCGTTAGCAAGTGGCGTCGGAGACTGACCATCTACCTCAAGACTCCAAACTCGAAGACAGGAGTCACCTCGTGTACCAGTACCGCCCCATGTGTAGAGTTGGAGACCGTCTGGACTGTGAGACATACTTTTCACACCGTCATTATGGGCCAAAGCTGTAAAGGAGAAAATTAGAGTTTCAGGCTATATATCAAACAAATATTCATACGCATTGATTATGTATACTACAACTTGTACTAATAAAGCTAATTGATTCAAAATTAGATACTTTCCAATATCTTCTGAACCTATACGATCAAGTGATCAGACTAGCACCGATTCAAAACACTCGACGACGTCCATTCACTCAGTCAGTTTGGCCTGACAGTGGACTGACCCAACCAGGTTATCTCCAGTCTCCTCTGCAAACTCACACATCATGCCGGTGGGTACACTTTCAAACTCACATAATCTCGATTTGTCAACCTTAGGAATTTATTTTTATACTCAATAAGGCCCATCAATCCGAGATCTCTCAACCTGTTCCATCTTATTTTAATGGTAAAGATCGCAAGAAGTTGGAAGAGTGATAGAACAACAAGAACGTTGTATCCGCTTAAATGACCCAAATGTAACTATTTGTCTACGGTACTCACCTTCATTCATGTAAACTTTATCTCCATCAACGAAGGCTTTATTCAACGCAGCGACGGGCTTTGAAGGGACACGAATATCCCAAAAGATAACACGGCCATCGATCCTTAAAGAGAGTTTGTAACCGGTTTATATACTTACCCCGCAGTTAGCAAAACAAATGAACTTCGAGCAGACCATAGAATCTGTGTAAGATAAGGTTCTGTATGACTCCCGAGTAGACTCAAACAAGGGGCGCCCACAAGAGGATCAATACAAACCGTGTGACGTTCATGAACCCTGCTGAGGGACACAGCAATCAAATTATGCTCTGTTGCACAAGACGACAAAGATGCCCAAGTCATGGGTTCTATGGTTGAGATCGCCTCTACACACTACGAAAAATCAATAGAGAGTCAAAAATGCTTAAGTTACCTCTCCTCTGTTAGTGTCCCATATTCTGAGTGTGCTGTTAACGGAGACTGTGAAAAAAGAACCAGTGTCTACAGGGTTCCACTGAACACAGAGGGATTTGCTAAGTCTCCCGTCACTCGAATTCGGACCTGCATCACCAGTGCCTAAAAGTGTTGATGGAACTGATGTGATATGGGTGAGAGAACGAAAAGTCGACGATTTGCAGCCGCCAACATCTTGGGTTACAAATGGACAGTGAGTGTCATACAGTAATAGACTTCCATTCGAGTTTGCAGCTAGAAGGCTAAACAAAGAAATATGATAAACTGATCAACCAATAATTACAATCGTGACTCTACAGGATCAATAGAAATATCCGTTATTGGACCTCGATTTTCTTCATCAAATTTAATGGAATAATCTACATCAAATTTATCGAGATTAATACGATTCTCCAAGATTTTCTGGCAAACATGCAAACGGGATGCGAAACCTCTCTCGGAAGGCAACTGAAATAAGAAGTGGTCAGGAATTGGAATTAGTAGGAAACAAATTAGCTTAAGAGGTAACAATAGTGATAAAGCAGTATTTATTTGTCTTAAGTCAGGAGAAAACAACAAAATATCAAAAGAAGAAAAAAGATCACAGAAGATGCGGGTTGAAAAAATGTTCATTTTGAGAGGTTACTGCCACTCCGAGAACTATCGCAGATGGCATCAACAATCTGAAATCAAAAGCAAAAGGAAGCGAACATGAATCTATGACACATTACTTGAGTAAAATGAGTAGAAACAGAAAAAACAAACGCTATCGTCCATTAATTGGGGCTCCACACAGCGTTGCATTACACTGTACATCACATCATCCAGAACTGTCTGTATTTGTCTACAAGAGGTATAAAAAATGCTATCAAGTGGGGGACTAATTCAATGTAGTACTAGCTACTTATAAGGATTAAGTAGAATAAATTAATCAATCAACCAGGAAAAGGAAACGTACTTTTCATCGCTAACAAATCTCCATAGATGGATGTAGAGATAATGACATTCGACTTGTATTTGCTGTAAGCCAAACTTCCCGAATGTACGGGTTCTTGCGCATTCACTGAAAGCCTGAAAATGCAGGAGACACACAAGAGTAGAGTAAATAGCACATTCTGTCTTTTATTGTATGGCAAGTCATAATTATATATTATAAAGTTCCGAAGTCAAATGGTTAATTACAAAAATGATGAAGAATCATCACAGAGGTACTTACTCAAATCTAAGTCAAGACCAAAATGAAAGGTCATATGTTGTAAAATAGTCCCGAGTTGTTTGTAAACCAGTGTCACCTAAGCTATTCTTCTCCACCGCCCCTATAGTGCTTTAGGACAAACCTAAGAAGGCCGAAAAGATTCCAGAGAGTAGACGCTTTATTTAGACTACAATGTATTATATCGTGTATGTCACAATTATTTAGTAGTAGTGTCTTAATGGGAGTTCGTAGTGTGGCCAGACACTTAGAGCCCAGATATTCCCACCCTCCATAACTTTGTGAGAATACTGAATTTATCAGATCATTTTTTGATCTAACGTTAACGACGCAGCTTGACAACTTACAAGTAAATAACAATAATTGGCATTGACTGGTAGGCCAGAACTCACCTTAAGAGCAATCTTGATTACCCCAAATAGGATAGATTCTCGATTAGGTTTGATAGGTTCAAAAATGTCAACTCTTTGATGGAACAGTCGGCGAAGTTGGTTAGCCAAAGCAGGATCATACTCTGGTGTTGCACCTGGGCCATGGGGCATATCGGTGTTCGAGGGTATTTGACTTCGAAGGTGCGACATAGATGAGCGCAGGGAGTACCGGCCGTCATTTGATCCTCGACCACCGCCTCCGCCACCACCGTCTTTTCCACCTCGACCACGACTGCCACTTGCAGCCAGCGGAAGTAGCTGACTCACCTGGAAAACAACGTGGAAAGTAAATAGTATACTGCCGACGGGGCCTGTGTTTGACCAAGATGGGAAGATGAATTCACAAATACAGAACAGACAGCCTATTTACCAACACGTGGATTCACATGATATTGGGGGAAAAAGTAAATTTTCGCTATCATATCAGCGTAATACAATAAAACTTCCTTCATAACTCATGAAACAACTTTCGACTTGGTGCACTTGCAAACTACAAAGTCCAAATGCTCTCAAAGGCAGGGGGATAAAGCGAGACCAGTTGCTACGAAAAAACCAATGCTCAATGAGCCATAAATTATTTTAAAAGCAGATTTTTAGCTCAAATAAATTCAAGAGGGTATAATACTCATATTGACTGGGGTGTGGGATAGACTTACCTCCACGTGGTGCTCCCTGGGCAACGTATGCTCATACGGCAAAAAAGTCTATCAATGGGCAGTTGACTTCTCACTTCAAGCTACCATCACCTCACTATATGTCATATTCGACTTCTTCCACAGTACTCACCTCACCTTTTTTACCTTTGTGTCTGTCTCTTTTACATCTTTGAAACACTCTTCTCTTCCCTCCCCTCTCTCGACTTTTTTTCACTTTGATGTTTCTTCCCCTCTGTGAAGTCTGAAGTCAACTAAAGGGCTAATGATAACCATCAAGACGCCTGCCATTTGATATAAATAAATATAAATAATACTCATATTGACTGCTACTACTACTACTACTACTACTACTACTTGACATAACAAAAGAGTGAATCTCTGACAAATTCAAAAGGCTCGAAGAGCATGCAAAAAATATGTATAAAACTGGCTCTTTCCCTTCATCTCAATAAAATTCGGTAGTTGTGCCCCAAAAACGATCACATATAATTCCAGTGCTCAAAAAATACATTATACAACAGACCTAAAATATTAGGTATAACTATGAATAGCACTTGAGATTTAGTAGTCACTACCACCATGGATATAATGTACTAGGCACATTGAAAAGAAAGTAGT